CGTAAAGAAAATCAGCCCATAACATAATTATAATACTTGGGAGAACTAGAATGTGCACCTTAAAACAAATGCTGGCAGAATTTGGGCAGGAAGTCACGGGGTGACAGGACATTCCACAGGTAGCTGTAAAACGACTGCTGGCATTCAGGAAAGAGCACACTTGGCAGCACAGTGAGCACCTCAATCTTACTGGTGTGTAGAGCCACAGGGAATGGGAAGATGTGCCTGGAAAAGGGACCTGTGGCCAGGGCACGGGTGCTGGGACTGCCAGGTGGGGAGGTCCCAGCTTATTCTTTCCAGTAGAAACAAGACGTCACAGAAAGCGTTCGAGCAGGTTACCACTGAGAACTAGAATCAAGGCTCCAGAAACCGCAAGACGACTGACAGCAAGGGACTGTGTGAAGGGCAAGTGGCAGATATGGTGACTAACTGTACCGCAGGATGGGCAGGGAGGGAAGGGGACAAGGAGAAGAATTCACTCAGGAGCCCCTCCTCTCGGCCTGTCCCCCTGGCTGTCTCTCTCCTTTCTCAAGTCTGGAATTCTGAGCAAGCTTGCTTGGGAGGACACCTAACCACCGACACTTGTGATTGGATAGTGTTTGCTTCAAAGAGACACAAATGCTTCCAAGGAGCACAGACTAATGCATCCTATTCTATAACAGCAAACCAAGAAACAGAGGAGAGGATATATCATGTCAAGCGAACTCAATTATTCAAATGCACAGAATAAAACTGACCTATAATCCCTAAACAACCACCAGAGCTTAGACCCACAGCAATCTGTGTATATTCTGCATTTGACCTTCACTGGAGCATTTAGCAGAGTCTCCCTTATATTAAGTTACTTATGTTTATAGTGCTGTTACCCCACCCCAGGTAGTCAGGCATCCTGGTGAATGGGGGCTTTGCTTTATTTGCCTTTGGATCCCCTAAAATACCTACAAACTGCATCAAACTCAAAAGGCACTGGATAAATGTCTGTTGAGTTACATCTGTTTGAAGCTTAAGTACAGCTCCAGGGCCCTGCCCAGCTGGGGAACACTAAATAGCGACATTCAAGCAGCAGACGACCCAGCAGCCGAGGCCAGGAGGCTCTTCCTGAACAGAAACTTGGGTCAGCGCTACAGCAGCAAAAAAGGATCAGAGACACAGCAAGGGACTCTCAAAACAAGCACCAAAGACCGGTAGTCCAAGGACAAGAGAGATTATTTGTTTAATCTTTATCGATGATATCGTTTTCAAAATGGAAATTCAGAAAGAACAATTTCTTAGATATCATTCCTTTTGCCATGATAAGAAAGCCATCTCTTTGTAATACAGCAAAAGAAAACATAGATCATGAGGTTTGAACAATGCTATCAAAGACAATTTACATTGCAACTACTATGGTTGGGTAAGATGAGACAAAGATCATTTTAACCTGTGCTTTCATCATTGCAAGGGACATGTCTGTGGGGTGTGTGGCCTAGTGAGAGGGGTTGCAGGGGACTCAGGGTTCCACTTATTCAAACACAGAGCTGGTTATCTGGAGACCGCAATATAGCAGGGTAAAGAAAATCGTGGCCACAATCCTTGAGGATGTGATTAAGGGCTCTTGGCAATTAGATCTTTTCTGATCTTAGACTCACAGAAACTGTACAAAGCTGTGTGATCTCTTCAACTGGAATTTTAATGTTTCATCCTACCTATTTGTTTACCTCTTGATTGAAGAGGAAAGATAGTTTGGTTTATGGTAACCTCAAAAGAGAGCAACTCAAGGCAAACCAATTTGAAAAGAAAAGTGATATATGAAGAAAACGGTAGAAAAGGGAGCTGTGCCAACTACAGCTGGGACTCTCTTGGCTATGGAGGCAAGTTATCAGCTGCAGCAACTCTCTCAACTCTGTCACTTCTAACCCCGCTCCACCATCTTTAATCCATGTAAGGCTAGACCCCAAGAGGGACAAGCCTGGTTATTCAACTTTTCAACTCCCCATTTAAAAAGAGAAAGCCCCCTCAAGCTATCTCCTCTGCTGTCTTTTAAAATATAACGTGCTGTACTTCCCACACAAAGATAATTCTGGGAGCAACAGCAGAGCCTCATCGGCCATCAGGCACGTGCTTTCATTCAATTTTCTAGAATGTAAATGAGTTTACACAGACCTAGCCCACTTCCTTCCCAGATTCTTAGGGGTTCAAGGCCACACAATGGTGATAATATTACTGACAGGGAGCACTTGAGATCTTGCTCCTTGGCATATGCTGTCAGTTTGGCTCAGGGTTGACAGACAAATTTTTGCATTAGTTTATGACACTACTGATACAAAATGTTCAGAATAGATAAATCCATACAGATTGAAAGTAGACTGGTGGTTGCCTAGGGCTGAGCAGGCTGAGGGAAAAGGGGAATAACTATTAATAAGTACAGGGTTTCTTTTTGGGGTGATGAAATATTCTAAAATTAGGTAGTGATTACAGTTGAACTATATTGTCAACATAGTAGAAACTACTGAATTGTATATTTTAAATGGGTAAATTGTATGGCATGTGAATTATATCTCCATAAAGCTGTTATAAAAAAATCTACTTTACCTTGAGGGAGTTGGGTCATCTTGGCCAAGGCGTGACATAATATTTATTAAGGTGTTAATTCCTATATAAAGAAAAATACACAAGTAAGTACTGTCAGAAGCATTCTAGGACCATGATATGACATGTAGAAAGAAAATTATCTCATCCCAATGTGACTCTAAAAGGCTTAATATCTGCATGTCTACAAGTTTAATCAACTTAGTTACTTAAAACACTTGACAAGAGAAATTAATTTTTCTTAAAAAATCATCCACCCTTATTATAATGCTCTGTTTAAACTACATGTTATTACTTATGGGTCAGGAAGCACTAAAGAATGAGAGGACGAACCAGGCAACAGAGAACCGTTCCTGATGGGGATTTAATTCACAACAGGAACACAGGCCAACACATGAGAGTCGAATCCAAACGTACCTTTTTTCCGCATGTGCATATGATGAACTTTCCTATCTCCATATTTGGGCTGCCGAATTCCACAGTTCGACAAAGAATTCCTGGCATGATCCGGATTCATTCCAAAATTTAAGTGATGACTCGGGTGAGTCATGGCCAGCTAAAATTCCAATGAAATAAGTTCAGTCTTAAAACTCAACATAGAAGTGTCTTCTGTATATCATCCCAAATGAAACGGGAAAGGCATCTGTGTATCCACTCAAATATTAAGCCCTGATGTTTTCATTTTATCTCCTCCACTGTTAAATTTCCAGAGCTCTGGTGCAAGCCCGCTTCTGAAAGCAAACCTAAAAATTCACATCTTTCAGAGGAGAATTAGAATACTCAGCGCCTGGGAAGAAGAGCCGTAAAGAAGGAAAAGCTGAAAGAAGGAGCTCAGGTCTGACAGACAAATTTTTGCTTTAGTTTATTTTTTTAAGGACAGCCTCAAAAAAAAAGGTGAGAAAAAGGGTTTGAAAGTGGCAACCAGAAGAAAGGGGAGAGCTATATTTCTAAACATCCTCCCAGAATGGAGGGCTCAACGCGTCATCTGTAACCTGCCAAGATGGATTACTCCTATCCTGTTATTGTATGAGTGTACAGGACAGCAATTCTTACCTGTAGCAGACAGCGATCTTGGAAAGTATATCCTATCAACTTGTCCAGGTGCATCAGGCATTGGTGGTAGCGGATATGATGGGTCAAAACAGGGAGCATCATTGCATGCTAAGAAAAAAATGTTTTTTCAGTATGCTTAACTCTATAGAAACTTGAAAAAACGCTTCATTTATTTTACAACAAACAAGACCCAGTTTTCAAATCCCAAATTCCATGTCACAGTTTACTGGCTGCTTGGGGAGGGGGGGGTGAGGCGGTGGCATTGGGGGGACCTTAGTTGTTAAAGGCATAATCTCTGAAAGCAGGATGCCTGTGTCTAAATCCTGCTCTGCCTGCCACTCATTCACTGTGGGACTTGGAGTGAATTTTTTGACTTTTCAGTCTGTTTCCTCACCTGTAAAATGGGGGGAAATCATTATAGCTACTTTCAAGAACAGTTAAAAGGATGAAGTAAGCAAATACAAAAAACTGGTTAGAACATGACCCATGCGTCCTCATTCAAGTAGAAACAGCCCTGGTTCCATCAATACAGTGTTGTAACCTCAAAGAAGTCACAAGAATTTCTGTGCCTCCATGTCTATCTTTAATTATAGGGAAAGGATTAGGACTCATCAGTCCTGAAACTTTATCAGGGCCAAGACACTTTTGAGAACCTAAGGAAAATGACTCTTTTGCCAGAAAAATACCCATGTGCACAAACATACGAAAGTTGTATGCACTTTTAATGGGTCCACAAATCCCTGATGCCCGTCACTATCGTTCAGGTAAGAGCGTCTCACCCAGATGCTCTCCGAAGGCCATTCTAGGTTTAACACTTAATGGTCTAGTATTCCAAGGACGGCTTTTATAAAAACCACCACTACAGCCAAGGCACCTGAGAACATGGAATTTCTCTTTGTTTCAATCACTTTTCATTTGGCGATAGGTGCCTCATTGGCAGATAATTTCATGAAAGGCATATCTTTTTCTTGTCTTTAATAACATTTCCCTGGAACTCAAGAGAATAAAGAAGTCATTCATTAGAACCGGGAGGATGGGCACAGCCCGCAGGATGACTGACATATGCTTTAGAGCATTTTCATCTTTGAAGTATTTTAAGCTGGTATTGTTTAAAAATACAGGAAAATGGATTTGCTTGAAACTACAGAAGTCAGTTTCCTGTATTATTAACTTACAAAGAAAGATTAGTTATCCCAAGTAGGATCTTTAATCATCAGGCCATCTTTCTTTCCAGTTCAACTCCATAAATACATACCGAGCACCTCCGTGTGCAAGGGTTACAACCGTTGTGGAAGAGAGAACAGATGAAAACACTCTTTTTGCTCTCAAGGGCTTCCCAGAGTGATATACCATTATGATCTGAATATTGGTATTTTGTCAACTTTGCTTTTTTAAGTGCCGTATTAAAAAATACAGTAATGTGGAAACAAAGTATATGTCCAAAGTATAAGATAGCTTTCCAGCCATTTAAAGTGCAGGGAGGTCAAGGGAGTTAATGCTAAAAAGTCAAGGTGCACAGGTCATTAAGACAATGGAGTGCAACAATATTTCTAAAGTATGAACTCAGATCGGTGACTTGTTTATTTTTTTATTTTTTTTTTCTAAGCTGAGCCATGCTGCCACCTGTTGACAGTTTAGTGGCTGCTCAGCTTGGGCCAGGAATCGAACCGCTGTTGCTCAGAGCTCAAACTCTGGAGCAAGCTCTTAACCAAATGAGCCACTCAGCCAGCCCACACACTTGTTTATTTTTTTAATACCTCTAGGGAGAGATGAATTATTACCCATCAAGAAAACAACACCCTCTTAAGAATACTCTAAGTATTAGAAAATTATTATAATATTAAGCCCATATCTATCTTCTTACCCCTTTGAACCTAATTCTACCCCTGGAGACAAACAAAAAATTGAATGGCCTGGCCCCCACATCTTCTCTTAGCTACCCTACGTCTTACTTCCTTTAACCTTTACTCATGTGAAACAGCTTTGAATCCCTTCCTCTAAACTTGCTCCAAATAGAGCCAGTTTCCCTTTCCAAATAAGTCTGTTTCTTATGAATACCATGGAAAGGTATGTGTGACCCACATTCACCTTGTATCCCAGACAACCATGTCTCAACATCATCTATGAGACTGTTATAATCTCTAGCTCAATTTTTGAAATGATCAATCTCTGCAATGTTGAAATATACACATTCTCTGGGCATCTTTCCCCCACCCCCCCCAATCGCTGTCTGACAGCTGCTTTCATTTTTAAAAATTCCTTTGGAAGAGTGCAAGGAAATGACAGTGTGTAGCTTTAAATGTATTCAAATTCGCCCATAAAAATAGAGCAAGCAGAATAGCAAAACAGATCCATGAACAATAAATATATACACAAAAACAAGACAATGAGGTATCCCCATGAAGGCCTAAATAAGAATGGGTGAGGGAGGACAAACAGCTACGTGGTCTCGTCATCTGTGAGAGGAAAAGCACAGCGTGCAGCAGGGCCCTGGGAGTGGAAGAGCTTCAATATCAACAACACGTGTTCCCTGGAAATGTGACCCCAACTGGAGAGGGCTCTGCAGAATCCAATTCATGGGGTGAATACAAGAGGACAGCCTAACAGAAAGCTGTGTAAGAAGCATCAGAGGTTCAAGCCGCTGGCATGGACAATAGTAATGGACTTAATACTATCCATTGTGGAGCCTATGGCTTGCACAGCCATGTTGTTTAACTACTTCTATGTTTAAGAATTCCCACCTTAAAACTATCGGGAACAAGGAATATCAATAAATATAAAAATATTCATTGCAAAAAGATGCATTTTTGCCCAAAGTCAATGACGTTAATGTACCCTGGCCATTCTCCCCTAAGTCGTTCTTACCTTACTTTTTAGGTTTTCGCATTTAAATGTGAACTAGGTTTTCACTCCTCTGTAATGAATGAGTTGATGAACAACACCTCCAAATCTCTGAAGGTAGTATTTCTATATGTTGGTGTTTTAAGCTCAGTAGAAGTAACAGTTTATTTTCACAATTCCAAGAACATTCACTGATTGTAAAGCAATATTTAGTATATGAAGATAGGTAAACAGATACTTCATCTGTTCACCTAAGGTTGAGAGCTACAGAATGCCTCCAGGATGATTTGATTTTGGTGTGTAAGGAACTATTTCACCAAAGCACTCGGATTTAATGGTTTTGTTTTTAATGGTCCACACCCCTTACCCCCATACAACCGAGCCGTGTTGCCACTATGCTGAGATTTCTTTCTTTCCCACGTCTATCAACTTCTCAGGTAGCTGGCTGCCTCACACTTCCATTCATTTATATGCAGACATTTTTTTTTAAACCATAAAGCAATTCCTGTAATCAGTATATGAACTCATACTTAGCAATTTACATTCTGTACCAAGTCATTTACATGTGAGAGTAATTTAATGAAATCTTAATAAAAAGACTTCCATTAGGAGGACCGGACAACATAAGCAGGGCTTTTCCACAGACAGCAGTCATCTTTGGAAGAGTGGGAGTCACGGAGAGGAAGGAACTACTATCAGATCAAGAAGTATTCACCTTCTCAGGAGTTTCGCTCAGGATCCAATTCCTCTGACCAGTTAGTCAAAGAAACTGATTGAGTGCTTCTGCCTACCACCCTCAACACAGAATGCAAAATGTGATACATACACAGGGCAGCTTCTAATCTAGCTGAGGAGCCAGAGTAAGACATCTGTGACACAGCTGAGAAACAACACAAAACTGCAGTGGAACAAATAGATCATTCAGCACCCCCCGCCCCCCATCTGTCTTACCAAGAGAAAGAGATAAAAGGGTGCCAGGCTTTAAAACAAATTCTGTTCAGAACAAAACTGCCTTACGGAATGCTACCTGGGGTGGTTAAAAAAAAAAAATCAAGTACAACAGAATATCCCCTCCATATCCCTCACCCACCAATCATTCAGACAATTATTTTTTATCTTTTTACAAATTAGGGCTCCATAGGGTTTTGTAAAAAAATAACAAGAACAAAAAAAAACAACTTCAGCGTTAACCACAAACTCAAGTTTGAAAACCAGTGAACTAGAAGATCTCTAAGGTCCCTTCCATTTCTCAATGTCCCACAGTTTTAGGATCTCTTAAACAATCAACTTTGACTTATCACTGAGATCACCAGACTTTGAGCAGACTGCCCAACATTCTGCTCGCTGCTTTTATAGTGTCTACCTTAGGATGATAATAGGTTGGTTTTGGAGAAACACTGGCAAACAGAAAAACTGAGATGTGGCTTCAAGTGGCCCTAAGAAAGAATCAACAGAAGCACAATATTCACTTCTGAAAGTACTTACAGTTAAAAAAAAAAAAAATCGGTCAATCGGCAAAATAATTGAGGACTTGGTGGGTGTAGCTGGCTACCAGTGTAGATGTTTATTCTCAAACTATTTAGCAATATTGCATCAATCGCAGTCCATCTTAACACAAAACTTTTTAACTTTGGACATCACATGGTAAATGAATTGCGTAGCAATACCTTTAATTATAGGATTAAATCCCACTGTTCAATATAATAATTAAATGCCAACATTCATTTTTTTAAAAAACTCACTACAATGAAATGAATACCTAAGAGTGCCTGAACTTATTACAATATACATTACCATCAAAACAGACAAGCAGAAGCCTGGATGTATTCTCCCAAAAGGCTGAACACAGTAAATTGCATTATTTGACCCCAGCCTGTGTACTCATTTTCCTTTACCGCAATTCCCATGAACGCAACCAATGTCAATCATTACCAAAAAAAAAACCAAAAAATAAGTAAAGAGTCAAAGAATATGCTGGGTTTGGGGATCTCTAATCTGGTATAAATTCCCCCAAAAGGAAAACAATACTTATTATTAGTAAGTCAGTTGTATATACATACAAGTATATATGAAATGTTCCTCCAAGGAAAAAATACTATCATTTGGCTCAAATATGAAATTTATACTGATTCTGTTCATGAATGCCTTCAGTTCTCTGCAGTGTAACTTTGAGTCATGGGTCTGTCAAGTTTGTGCACGTGGCCTTCAGGGGTCTGCTAGCAGAGCTGCAGAAGTGTCTCTTTTGACAAGCACCTACTCACATGCTGCAAAGAGACAGGTGCGTTTGAAGAATAGAATGGCCTTCACTCAACATGCAGAGAGAGAATTTAGCGTCACTAAGTGCCCCCCACCCTACCACTGGCCATGCACATGCACGCACACACAAAATTAAACAAGACAATACCAAAAGTGACAACAAAAACAAAACCCAAGTGATACAAAACAATTTACAGTTGGTGTCCCACTTAGCTACAAGGTAATATGTTCCATACAAACTTCTCAGAATTGGAGAAGCTGCAGTGTCAGATGCCTTTTAAAGGAAGAGATACATGGGCATAATTGGGTTCTCAGAAGCAGCATTACCTGACAGACATCCGAACGGATGCCAGTTTTCCAGAATCCTTGGCTACTTAGCTCAACCGTTACTTCTCGTCTCATTGTATTCTTCTGGCGTATTTTCTGGAGCGCTTCCTAGAAAAGAACTCATTACGATGAGGAACCTGACGGTTGTAAAGGAATATTAAGCCAAACATCAAGCATTGGAAAACAAGCTGGATTTATTCAGGATCACCCTTACATTCAGGTCGTCAGACCTCTTCATGCCAAATTACAGTAATTTATTTGAAAGGATGCCAGAATGCTCGAAGCCTTGGATAACTAGATAAGACAAACCTCTAAACCAAATCAACCATTCTGGCGAGGTCAAACAAAAAATATGCCCTTTCACTGATAAAAGAAACTCATGTAGAGTTCAGGTTTTAAAATCAGCATGTAAAAATTATATCAAGATTTATGTGAAGCCATTTACACCTAAGAAAGACAATCAGTAAATCAACCTGTAACCCACGTAATTCTAAAAGTTGCTTTCAAATTTGCCAATCCCTTGTAAAAACTGTTGCAGCAAGGGTACATTTTATGAAAAGAGACAATAATCCAAAACTTCTGCAAGGCATAATCAGGAATTGACTCTTCCCTTTTATAGCCCTTCAAGTAATTAAGTATAAAAATAATGTTATATTTATACACTTATTCAATAAAAATCTTATAGGAATTCATAATAACAAAGGAACCACCACCCCCACCACCTCCAGGCCAAATCCCATTGGAGGAAAATTAAACGGAATACTTCAGGAGTGCACACAAGCACCCTTCTCCCTGGATGCACCGACACAGGGAACTTGCAGTCAGCTGCTCTCAGCCCTGGTCCCCTCCTTCATACGAAGCTGAGTCGCTCAAACCACAGTCAAGTGAAAAAGCATGAATTCACACACTCTACCCAGCCTCAGAGACTTGCTCTTACAATACCAGAGGTAGCAGAATAAAACCTCACCGTGACGACATCTATTTTGATACCAAATCCATTTATCCTGAAAATTATACTTAAAACATAAATGATCTTGGAATATTGGGATAATACCCACTAGTAAAGAAATAAGGAATTGAGAATATAAATTACAAAATAAATTCATCCCACTAAACTGACAGACGTGGAAAACAATCTTTGACAACCTTAAGACCAAGGAATTTGAAGAAAGCCTAAGGCTGTATTATATGCTGTCGAATTAACAATAAAAATTGATCTAGCAAGTTTCAAACTTTAATTTCTATGAAAGATATATTTATTCCCAATGGCAGCAATCCATTAAGAAACTAGCCTTTGCAGGGGGAAAAAATGGTCACTTAGATACTAATAAGATGAAAAAAAAATCTATTAGCATCCTAATGCGAAGGGGAGTAAGGGATGATTTTTAAAAAATATTAAATACTTTTCCATCTTATTCTAGAAGTAGCACCAGGCAACAGTCCTGAAATAAACCCGAGGACCGTCATCATCCATCACAGGGGAACAAGGGTCGGTACCCACCTCTCTCTGTGCCAGCTTCTGCTTGTCGGTTTGTTTGACTTTGGGACTATTTGCTAGGAGGTGGCGAAGTTTCACATAACTCTTCCACAGTTTCTGGTACCTAAGGAAAAGGACAGACAGTCATCAGACAAAGAGAAGGCGCATCTGAAGTACAACAAAGCTAGTGGTTTTAAAAGGCCTGCTACATCATAAACTGCATTCTCCTCAATACCCTTAATGGCAGCAAACCTTCAGTCTAAGGAAGGATATGGGTTTTGAGGCTGAAGGTCAGGATGACCAAGAGTCCTCTGGAACCTAATTATTGATTATTGCTTACTTGGGTTGAAAAGGAGGTGTCGCTATATAGATAAGTCTCTCTGGAAAGAATTCCAAAGGAGACACACAAAACCAATAGAAACATATAACGTTTCTTATTGTTACCTATTTCAAAGTAATACATTTTATTTAAATATGTACTTTGTGATGTTTGTAAAAGAAAAACCCCTTACTTAGTAAGGATACTGTCAGCCTCTCAACTGCCTATACTGAAAGTAAAAGTTGGAGAGTATTAGAAAAGAGAAGCCTATTTGTGCCAAATACCTAAGCTGCATAGCTGTATCCATTTCTCCACTTGGGAGGAAAAAGGCAAATGGTATACACCAATCTGTATATACCGTGACAAAAATAAGCACATTTGTAAGCAAATGTGTGAGAACCTGGATCAGTCTAAAGGATACTGTGAAAGTCCTGGGAATGAAGACAATATGGAGAACTTCATTAATTCACACCCCTGCCATCTGAGTCCACGAGAGCCCAATCACATTCTACTAACATTTTTCTGACAAGAAGGAACTTTCAAGGCTTTTCTGTCATCTTGAAACTGCTTCTGTCATTGAAACTGCTCCTTTCTTGGCCTTAGCTGGGTCTCTCCTTTTTGATAACATTTTTTTTTAGAGAATGGAGGAAAGAAAGAAGTACTTACACAGTGCCTGGTTCACTGCTTCATACTTTTATCCAAAGGGAGGGGAAAAAAGAACAAAACCCTTTAGCCTCTTCTAATATATTAGCCAAAATTGTATTTATGAATTGAAAATCTCCCATGCCCTTTGTCCCAATATGAATCCTTTAAAAAAATAAATTAAGTCAGGAAACTGTTTAACGAGGTAGAAAATTCAAACACTCCTGAAGAACATAATGGAACTATTTCCATTCCCACATTTCCTCATCTTCTCACGGAAAAACACTAACATGCCAGTTTGAAAAACCCAAACATGGAAAGTAACATGAATTCTACGAGTCAGAAGTCACGGCTTCTCCTTCAAATACAGCCCTTGACTTTGCATGGGATTTTGAGTTCTTATTAAGATGCCCCAAAAATAGAATTCTGCATAAATTCAGCAGTGCTAGGAACCAATATCGTGCTATTTTCCTCTAGAGGGCATTGAAAAAACAAAAATAACGACAAGCATTGTAATGACATTGTAATGGACTCGTGTTAACCAAGATTGCCAAGGATAAGCTATTGAATGACAGTTTCCTGCAGTCAAACATGTAGAGAAATTAATTCTTCAAGGAGCTACCAAAACTTGTTTCGTTTGGTAACCTAAATTTGGAAACATGACTCATTTCAGGTCTTAAGCTTTAAAAAGGAAAACATCCACTAAAGGGTAGTCCTCTGCTAATTCAGCTGTTAGTAGAAGGTGAAATTGGCTTAGACAAACACTGAGAAATATCTTACTGTGGGTCTCCTGCATAACTCAACTGTGCAGGGCGGATCCCAAAATGGACGATAATTGGAAAAGTAATCACATCGGGGTTGAACTGTTCACGATCCAGTTGATCAATGCGGACAGAGCTGGGTTTCTATAGAGAAAAATCAAAGCCATTTATTCCCATAAGAAGTCTTTAAGTATTGACTTTAACCTAAGTAGAGAAGAAATTAATAGGATTTTTTTTTTCTAGGAGAGCCTCATCCCCAAAGGGAAAATGTCATTTAAAACCCTTTAATCATAGCAGATACACGATATAAAAGCTGTAATGTCATCCCTGTAAATGAGTCTGTGCCATTTGGTATAATGAACAATGATTTTGTCCTTTTTTACAGTCCACACAGAAACCTTTAAAAATTAAACTTAAAAGGACACCCAGTCAGATATAACTCTCCCTTAACCTCTCTAAAGGCACCAGGCAAGTATTCCACATCAAGGAAGCAAGATGTGCTGGCTTTTTCTGCTTTAATTCTACATTTCAAAGGAATGTAGGATTCCTTACTGCTACTCAGGATGCACAGACAGATACCTCCATGTAAATGGCTTTCCACTAGTTCTCTGTGTACCTAATGTAGTCCTTTAATTCTAAATTTTTAAATTAGAAGGTATGGTAGTACAAAGGACAAATGGTTGAGCTTCTCTTATTATGTCCATATAGGCTATTTTTTAAATTTTAATAGAGAGCCTTATATTTTTTTTTCAAGTTTAATGAAGGAAGACGTCAACAACTAGTTCCTACTTAAGTTCCTAAAATATGAGGAACTATTTGTAAATTACCTTTCATACTGACATCTTAAATTTGTGAAAAGATGGTAAAATCATGGGGAGTATGTTTTAACAACCTCCTTTCTTATATTCAACTCTCAGGGCAATGCCACATTAAAAACTAAATTCTTACTAGGAGATTGTGGGGTCTTTGGCTCAGCTGCTTCAGAGCTAAAGGCCACAGAATCAATACACACAGAGACCAATAGGCTTCCTTTGGTCACACAGCAACGCCCAACCACAAGAGTCTGGTGGGTGGTCTGGTGTGTCCAGGACAGAGGGGCTTCAACGCTAAAGCTGCGAAAGCCCCCACCAACCGGGACAAGCTCGTTACCCTAGCCACAGCTCCAGCTGCAGTTGGCAATCTGACAAATTTAAGTAGGTGACGAAGTGAATAGATTTGTGTCAATTCATCCTCATTAGTTTAAAAACAACTTACACTAAGTTTTTAAAGAATATTTAAAAGTCAGTTAACAATAAAAATTTCACTAATATCTTAAAAAGTTGTCCTCTGTTCTTGAAATTAACAACTAGAGATGATTTTGGTCAAAGGTAACCTAATATAAAATTATTTAAATGCTTATCATCAGTAGCAATGTTATTTAGGACTAAGAATTGTTTCTAATATTTTATGCATCAAAACAGCTGGATTTGATTTTAAAAGAGGAATGGCATAGCTGAAAAATGCTAGTGAATTATTCATATTTCCATGATTTTAAAAACCATGCTATGGTATCAATACAGGAAATAGTGGTTTAAAATATCTATAGTATCTCTAAACTTATAGTGGGGACGGGGGAGAATGAAATAAGTTCTAGAATTTGGCCACACCCTATAATATCTATCATACCATCTTTGCAGAAGGATAAAAAACATAATGACCAAAGTATTCCCTGCCATGGGCAAAGTGCCAAGAGAGGGAGATTAATTCTTTCAAGTTCTGTAGCAATAAAGTACTTAATGTGGCCATAATGGCTTGAAAATTTAATAAATTTCCCAACATTCTTACCATTGGGCAATCTTTCAAAGCCAATACTACAGAGGACGAAATGTGGTGGGGCTGTGTCTACTCTGCCCTATTCTCAAAAGGACAGACTGAAAGGATATTTTCATAATACTGAATTTTCAGGATATTTTCGGTCCTTAAACGTATTTTAAAATAATACTAAAAGAGAATTAACTTCATCATGTCCCTAAGCCTGGCACCCAAATCTACCTTTATTAATTTCCAATTAGTTTCCAACATAAACCTTTTATCCTGACTAATCTGGCTTCCTCATTATCTTCAAACCTGGCCATCTACCATGCCAAGTATGTTCATTTAATCATGCCAATAATTTATACAATTTCTCAATTCCTTACACATCTCACTGGTGTGGATGAAGATCCCTGGCAGCTGGGCCGAGTGTTCTCACCTAAAACTACAGGCTTTCCTGGCTGGTTTTTCGACCGGCTGGTCCACTGATTCAATGGTTCATCAGAGACTCCTTCCACATGGATATGCTGCGAGTTTGCACCTGGACAAGCGTCACATACAATCCATATACTTCACTAGTACCTGGCTCATACAGTGTCCTTCAGCAAATGAGCTGGATGATCGTGACAGTGGAGTCAATGTCCTCTATGCATTGGCTCAAAAACAAGCAATGAGTGAGTCAGAAGCCCCTGGGGATTTTTGTTAAATACAGATCCCTGGGCCCCATTACTTGGAGTGGGGAAGATCTGGTATGTCCAAAAGCTTTCCAAATGATTCTAGGATTTCAGGGAATTTTAACCATACCATGAAAGAAAGCTCAGGGGTGAAAGCGTTCCCAAAGTGCCCACTGTAAATCACGAGATGCGCTTCGAGTGGCCCCACCAAGATGAAAAGTATGTATGCCACCATCATCACCCCCATCCATCTTCTGACCTAGCTATAAAACTGACACAACAAATGTAAATTTATGTAAATTTATGTAACTGTTTAAAGAAGAAAAGTTAAATTCACAATCATACTCTCACAGGGCTATGATTTGTATATGTCTTTCAAAGTTACTTCAACAATTATTCTGTGGCTTAACATAACAGTAAAAACTGTGATTTTTTTAGGTTTAAATAACTTTTATGTTTAAACACATTTTTATTAAACACTTTCATTTTAAAGTTTTGTTTAAAATAATCAGCATTAAGCTAGAATGTCTGACTTGCAAATATCAACATTTTGTTTTTGCAGATGTTACTGTCATGGTACAAAAAGTTGACCCAGAGTTTTTATTTTTATGAATCAAGGCTATTAAACAATTTGGCAGCCTTTTTAAAACAACAGCTTTGTTTAAATAGTTTACTCTGTTTATTTACAAGGAAATATTTTAATTCTCCATATGTAGAAAACTTTATCTTGATAAGATGCCAACATTTAACTATTTTATGAAATAACATATTTTCAAGAAAAAAATTCAACTAATATAATATATAAAACATTTTCTTTATAAAACTAGTTATCTTGTAATTCTCTGCTTTTAATTTTTATATTTTTACTTCAACAATGAACATTAGAAGCTAATTTTAAAACAAAAAAATAAGAAACAAAATAAATGGGACCTACTTGCAATAATTATTGCAAAAAATCAATAAAAGGGTCAATAAAAGGATCAATAAAAAAGGACAAATACCACAAAAGAAAATTAAACATAGGATATTAATGGGTCATTATCAAAGAAAACATGAAAGGCCAATAAACATTTAAAATATTGATTTTTGCTAGAAATCAAAATAAATACAAAACTGAAGTAATATTTTTTCTCTATCAAACTTGACAAAGTTTTTTTTGGTTTTTATTGTTAAAATAGTATAACCAATATAAAGAAAGGGACGCTCTCATACTTCCCTAGTCAGAGTGCAAATTTTACTACCCTTCTAGGAGGCATTTGCAATATGTATCAAAAGCCTTCACCTGTGCATACCTCCAGAATACTAATTTCACTTATAGGCTTCTTCCTAAGAAACTAAATGGACACACATTCAAAGATTCATACATATATGAAACTTTAAACACACGTATACAAATTCAATACAGCAAAAGTCTGGAAGCAACCTATATACCCAACAATAGGTTAATTATATAACTTAGGGGCCTTTTTCTTTATTACACTCCTGAAGAAATTTAAGACTGGAAAAATAATTTTGTGGTGACTCTTTCTGGAGGATGAGAGGGAAAGGTCTGAATATTTAATATTTAATAGTATGATGCTAATTTCATTTCAAAACAATATGAAATATATCCATTCTAAGGAGATTAAAGTGAATAGTATCTTTAGACAATGGAATTATGGATCATTTTTATTGTCTTCTTTCAGCTGTTTTACTATTTTCCTAATTTTCTAGTGCAGATGTATTACTTTTTTTTTTTTTTAATTGGGGAATTGAGGGGAGGGGAACAGCACTGGGGAATCGGGGAAGGGAAACAGACAGGTAGACAAATTGCTGTTTTGTTCTTCAGTCTAGTTGTGGAGGACATCGCTTCAATGGCCCATGTTGGTATGATCATTGTGCTCTTCTCGGGTGAGGCCATCGGTCACCGGTCATTGGTCGGCCACTCACAGCGGCTCCCGGTAGCTCACACAAGCTGCCGGCCGCTCACACTGGCTGCCAGCCACTCACGTAGCTCATGGCAGCCCACTGCCACCCTGTTGCAGCCTACGCCGTCGCCGGCATTCACAGCAGCCCAGCTCCAGATAGAGCTGTTGTTCATCGTCTTAGTTGTGGAGGGTGCAGCGTCACTGGCCCTCGATGTGGGATCCGAACCGCAGCCCTGCTGCTCAGAGCTGGCGCTCCCAACCGAGCTCTTAACCAGCTGAGCCACTCGGCTGGCCCGAGATATATTACTTTTATACTTAAAAAAAAATCCAATCTGAACATATCCAAAAACTTCAAATTTCTTGACAATGGGCAGAATCAATTTACTAATAAAATGAACTTACTACTAAGTATACCTATATTGTAATATTTTTCTTATTTACTAAATATTTTTAAATTCAGCAATGAGTACGTGCAGCTTTGATGAATGCTGTTACTGTTTTTGTGAAGCATTCAGACCTGGAGAGAAAGTGATTCAGTCTCTGAAGGTGTGAGCACTAGAACGTACCGTCCCGGGGTTGGTGACAATCATGCCCTTGCACTCTTCCGCGTACTTCTGCCACTCGAGTTCTTCCCACTGCAGCATATTGGCAATCTCCTCCTCGGGGACCAGCGCTTTGCTACACCGCAGTAAGTACAGAAGAATCTGGTGCATGGACAGCACTTCCTTTCCTCCATCTTGGGTGGGAGTGGACAGACAGGGGAAAATAAAGCCACTCAATTAACAGCCAATCATCAGCTGAATACGGAAAAAAAAGGCCATGGGGAAAAAGAGCATTTACATAAAAAGGTAATTCAGAATGTACATTGTTTAACCAGGTGCCAAATAATCCGAAAGCCACTGGCTTCACTGTTGAACAGTGCTCACAAACCATCTAATTTACTAAAATGGCAAGAGCAGTTATTATAAATGATAAAAGGCTCCCTTTGTGAGGTATGAATACAAAGAAAGGTGCCTACCTAAATAAATTTAAAAACACCTACCATAAAGAACCAGAGCTTATAATCTACAGATCCGTGTTAAGTCTTAAATATTTTATCATTCTTTCTTAGGTAACAGGTGAAAGCTCTTTAGAAGTAATGTTATTTTCTTAAGGAAATTCTAAGCTTTTGAGATATATATGGATGTTTTTCATAAAGCTATTGTGTTATGTCTAAGTTTTTGGTGCTAATGTGCTGCACCTGCCATGATGAATAGAAGTGAAGAGCCTGTACTAATATCATGAAGATCATTATGGAGTTAAAACATGGAAAAATACCAATTATTCGAAGACTTACAGAAGCATATATTACCAGGTACGGAGGAAAAGAAGAAAAAAACAACAAAAGACATAAAGTACCTTGGAAAAAGCTAATTAATCAGGTACTTGATGAACCAAAGACATTCATTTAATGTGGGCATTAGTTCCGGGTCCACTGGCTTCTGCCTCCTCTTTGGGCTTAGCTCCTTCACCAATATATGTAACTCCCCTGTACCCCTTTGCCTAGTCCCCCCAAAGGAAAGACGGAGCCCTGAAAGCTTACAGGGTAGTGACTACCCTATCCAGGTCATGAGATATGCCAGGAACAGCCGCATAGGGCCAAAATTTCATGGAGAAATGAGGGGCTGACAGGATGGGGGTGGGGGGAAATGAAAAATGTCCTATTTATGCTTGAGGAGTTAATGACACCCAAGGAATTTGGCGTAACATAAAAAAGAAAAGAATAAAAGATTTTAATACAAATAGCTATGGGCTAAGAACTTGGACAGGCCTACACATCTCAAAAATAAGAGTAAATATCAAGATTTCTTTTTGATTTGTGTGTTTTTTTTTAAATCTCAGGTGCTACTCTGAAACTGGACAGCATTGCTGCTATACAGCTAGCATATGTGTATATATATAGGCATGCTTTCATGCGTTAATCTAAATACCTGCTTGTTCATTTCACATATACTTACTGAACACCTGTAGCAGGCACTCTTCTAGACCCTGGAAACACAGTGGCACTCTAAATAGCTGAAGTCCCTTATATTCCAGTGGAAAAAAAGAGACAGTAATGAACACCTATATAATAAGATCAGGTCGAGATGAGTGCTGTGAGAAGAATCAAATTGGGCAAGGGACTGCAGCCATATTTAAAAGGGTGGTCAAGAAAGGCATCTTTGAAGGGGTGCCATGTAAGCGAGGACTTCAAAGAAATCAGAGGACCCATCATGCAGCAATCTGGGAGAAAACTGTCTCAAGTAGGAGAAACAGCAAAAGTCCCAAGGTGGAACAGGACTGACGTGTTCCAGGAAATGCGAAGAGGCCAGGGTGGATGGAGTGAAATGAGAGTGAGGAAGCCAACAGGAAGTCCAATCTGGCAAAGCTTTACAGAGCACAGTGAGAACTCTGGATTTTATCATCAGAAGGGAGTCTATTTTTCACCATTATGTGTCAGGCACTATGAGAGGTACCATGGCACAATCATGGGGGGAAAAAAACACACACAAGCTCTAGGCCCTCAAGAAGCACGTAGGCAAACAATGATTAATCACAATTTCTAGAAGACTCTTTGTAGATAACATTCTGAAAATAGAGTTCTCTTAAGCAAACACACTGAGCCTCTCTTAAAAAAAACAAAAAAAAAAAAACTGTCCAAGCAATGACTAAAATACAAAATACAATCCACCCACATGAGGACATGTTCTGTGTACTGATTCAGATTATGTTCACAGTGGAGCAATTTTTATGCCTCATTACAAAACATCTGCCTTAGACCCAGGAGTCACCTTTGGTTAACAAACTTCCCTGGTTAAAAACATATTTCTCAGAGCCTGTCACAAAAGACATTTCAATCCACCTGCATGTGACATGTCTTCCTCAATGGCAGTCCCCTCTTTGCTGAAGAGCCCAGCCAATCCAGAATGCCTATTTGTCATAACGTCTACCTGTCAGTCTGAGCCCAGGGTAATCTCTGCTTCTAGGGGATCTGAGGTGAGCAGGCAGACAAGAGAACTCTAAAGCCAGAATACGGTGACTTGCACAGCATGCGTACACATCCAGAACAGCAGTTAAAGAAACCTGTAGAGTCTTGAGTATGGCCACACTACTAGAGTCCCTAGGAGCCAAAGAAAAAGTAAAATGGTATTTGGCTCATAATCTCTATATTTGGGAAGAATACTAAAAAATACTGTGGGCCTGTAAGGATACATGAGGAGTGTAGGATGCTATAAGAAGTCATTGTTTTGCTATAAGGCTCAGAAAAAAGATCGAGATTTTATTTGGAGAGGTTGGTGTGTGGCGGAAGGAGCAAATACGTGCAACTCCAAGAATTCAGAGCAGCACCAGGCTCTCACCACAAGCAGTTACAGATGGCTGGCTCCACGGCACTTCAGATAAAGGGGAAATGGACCTCAGACATTGAATATAAAGCAAAAAGACTAAAAAACTAAAAGAGCTACTGGGAGGGGAATACTTAAGCCTACACACCAAGGTCGCCACCCAATTTATGAGAGTACCTGCAAGATAAAGAAAGATGGCCACTGGATGCTTGTAAGAATGCTGCTACCTAGTCTGAGTGTGAAGCTGCCGATGAGGGAGGGGAGTTTTACAGCAGCACAGAAACTAGAAATCATGTTTTTTAAATACACACACATCAGGTGCAGAGTTGGTAATGCTTAAGAAGAAAGTATAAATCCATGGTGAGATCTAAATATTTAAAATAGCAACTAAAACCTAAAAAGATAGATATTTACCACTGTGAAAAAGTAGAAACCCAGGGCAGTTAACCTGAGGTGAAAGGTTAACCGAGGAAGGGGATTGAGGCACTGCTCCAAGTCTGATAAGGAGGTGCAATCCTTAGGAAAATGTAAGAAAAGGTAGCAAGGCTAGAGAGTCCTGCCAGAGCCTGTGGGCCGAGGGCTGTATCCCTCACCCTGCAACAAAGACCCTCATAAATATCTGTGGAATGACTTTCTGAAGCAGATAAATAACATGGCCACTTGGTCGCAGACTGCCACGAATTTAGTAATGTTAATGAATTGGCTCTTTTGGTTTGTCTGCTTTGCTACATGTTTATGTTAGGGATTTATGGAGCTATGTCACTGCGGGCTAGCAAGCAATTTTTATCTTGTTGGCTGAGATAAATAGGACATGATATAAATGAGAAATTGGAGCGGGTAAGCTAAGGTTAGCAGGAATCGTGCCAGCCCTGGGACTGGAACCGTGACAATGGCTCATTATTCGGGAAGAACTGGAGTTTGTGTTTTGGGGAATGAATCTGGACAGTCATTAATAAGCTGACAGACTTTATAAACTGTTTCTTAGAGACCCAATTCTCTCGGTTTATACTGCTTGATCACTTATATGGTTATTTGTGGGACAGGGCAATTTGTTAGGGAATTTGTGTTAAGAATATGGCTGGTTACACAAGTATTTCTCAACAGTCTAATACTCAATTTGAAGAAATACAAACATGCCTTCCTCTTTCCCTACGCCGAGAATAACTGTATAACTGCATTACTGTATCTCCTGTATATTCCTACTAAGCTGCCTTTACATAATCTGAATGTTTGAAAATTTGTATTAACAGCAGGTATTTTCTAAACTTTCCAAATATGAAGCTATATCAAGATGCTGTGTCAATTAATGTTTTTTTCAAACTACAGTTGCTTCCCTGGGAATTCTGAGATACTCTCCCAAGCTCTGGCCCTCTGTCAGCCATACCAGAGAACCTCTTTCCCAAAAGGGGCAATTTCCAACAGTCAATGTGCTAGGTAATTGATGTGCAAAATTGATTCAGAATTTCCAAAGCTTTACTACAGCAATGATAGATGCAATGAACAGGCTTTCCCATAAATGCAGTCTTCCCATCTTGAATGATGCCCTACCCAGCCCCAGCCCAGCTACTGTTACAATAATACTTTAAGCTGGCTCTAGGAAAGTTCATTTCAACTGTTTTGACTTCTAGAGGTAGAGGCAGGGAGAGGGAAGAAACCAAAATTTGAAAAAATTCTTAAAATCTCAAAAAACTGGTTGTTCTATGATTTGACTTCAGGTAAAGTCACCTGCATTGAATAATTGTTGGTTTAAACTGGAAGCTTAGTTTTGGATAAATCTGTGTAAAGCAACTGAAACAGTTGTCTTCAAAACGGGTAAACTGGAGAAAAGTTATGATGACTCATAAACTTTCAATTAGATATAATAAACTGATATAAATGAAAAGCAAATGAGAATGACAGGACCATGAAATACCTGAAATATATGAAAGCTGCTCATTTTCATGGGAGTTCAAGTAAGATGCAAATAACAATGAGGCTACCTTCTGCCTACAGAAGACAAGTAATATCCAGTGTTGGCAGATGTACAGGAAATGGGCATTGTTAAAAATGTTGGTTACAACTATGTCCTTTTTAGAAAGAGCACCTAATTATGTCCTTTTTAGAGAGGACTTAGCCAACATCTTTTTCCAAATTTAAAATGTGCATAACCAATGTCTTAACCAATAATTTCACTTCTAGGACGCTACCTTATAAAACCATTGACATAAATGCTAAAGGATAGATGCCCAAGACGGTTCCTGAAGTATTTATATGTAATGCGGAAACAATAGGGACCTCCAAAATAGTCTTCACTAGAAGAACTGTCAAAACAAGTAATGTCCTTTCATACTATGGAATGCTATGTAGGTGTTAAAGAATGAGGCAATGTATTTATATAGAGGATGCCTGAAATATTAATAGTTGGGTAAAAAGTAAAGTTGTGTAACAATACTTTTAGGCCACTGCAAGAAAAAAGCATAATTCTCCCTATACAGGTTAAAACAAATACAAATCAAACAATCATTTTCACACATCTAATGGGGGTGTTCACTGTTTTACCCTATACACTTTTGAATTGTTTGTGTATACGCGCACGCACACAAACACACACAGAATCAACTCAACTTAGGGCAAAGGTAATATTTCAATTCTGTGAAGAAGGAACGGTCTTTTCAATAAATGGTGCTGGATCAACTGGATATCCATATTGAAAATAGTGAACCTTGACCCATACATCTAATACCAATTGTAAAAACAAGTTCAAGACAGAGTCTGAATTAAATTTGTAGAAAATATAGGAGAGTATCTTGATGAACCTAGGGTAGGCAAAGATTTCACAAAACAATATACAAACACCTCTCAGCATGAAGAAAAAAATATATAAACTGGACTCCATTAAAAATAAGAATTTTTATTAATAAAAAACCACCATCAAGATGGTAAAAAGACAATCCACAGAGAAGTACTGGTGACAGACAGATAGAGATAGAGATATAGATAGAGGGAGATAGATATAGAGATATAGAGATACAGGTATATATATATATATGTATATCTTTATATCTACAGATGTATATCTGACAAATGACTTGTGTATTAAAAATACCTACAAATAAATGAGAAAAAGGCAGACATAACACAATAGAAAAATGAGCTCAAGACTTGAACAAGCACTTCTAAAGACAATATTCAAATTAGTCAACTGATATAAGAAATAGTGCTCCATTTCATTAGTCATTAGGAAAATGAAAATTAAAACCATAATGTGGGACTTGTGAACACTCACCAGACGGCTAACTTGAAAAAAAAAAAGAAAAACGCCAAGTGCTGGTGAGAATGTGGAATAACCTGAACTCTCATATGCACTGCCGGAGGGAAGATAAAATGGTACAATCACTTTGGAAAACTGTGTGAGAGTACTTACAAAGCTTAATAGAAACACATCCAGAATTTCCACTCCTAGGTATACACCCACAATAGAAAAACATAAACATATGTTCATTAAAAGGCATGTGCAAGTGTTTAGTGAACACAGGCATACTATTTGAAAAGAGCTGAAAATTGAAAATACCCACATATTCATTAATCCCACATATATTAAATACATCTTAATTTTGTCATACCATATAATATAAGCTGTGAGAATGAACCAACTACAGTTAACTCTAACAACAGGTGTCTCAAAAACATATAATACAAAAGAAGACAGAAACAAAAAAAAATGTACAATTCTAATTCTTATAATGCAAAACCAGATAAAACTAATACATGGTGTTTTCAAGTCAGAATAAAGGCTACCCTTGAGGGGCTGGGTAGTAATTGGAAAGGGGCCCTCGGATGTCAGTAATCTTGATCTAAGTCCTGAGTACATGGTCATATTCACTTCAGGAAATCACTGAGTCTTATATTTATGATATGTGCACTTTTTAATATTTGTACTATACATCAATCAAAAGTTTACTTTTTAAAAATGAGAAGCAACACCAAAGAATGTTTGAAAAGCACATTCACTAATTAGTAACAAAATCCTTAATGAAGGCACTATTTTGACTGATTAAATAGTCAGTAGACAAGTATTTACTGAGGCCCTGCTTTGTGCCAAGTGGTATGTTAACAGTGACACAAGGCAGACACTGTTTACTCCTTAGCCTCAAAGAGTTACAGTTGAAAATTTTAAAAAAGAAGGAAGGTGAGAAGAAAGAAGAGAAGAAAGGAAGGAGTCATCGTCCAAAATGTGAAGAAAATTGATTAATAATGCATTTTTCATGGCAGCATAAACTGATGAGATTATTTTGATAAGAAATATGGCACTACACATCATGATCTTTAAAAATATACATCTGCTCAACAAATTATTAAAAAATAGGATGCAAATCATATACTAGCATGATGACAACTGTATAAAAAAAGCCTATCCACAGAAAAAAATGAAAATATATCAAAATGTGTTTCTTTTTAATTAATCATTTTCTAAAAGATCTTTACTGAAATCACATTGTGAAAAATCAACCATAACTTGCCACCTAATCCCAAAATGCACTTTATACATTAGATATTTTTCTGTATCCTTCTGGGGTTTTTTAATATGTATATTTTCAAAGGGAAGTCTAATGAAAAAGTAAATTGTGTTTAAAAAAATAAATCAATAGACCTTTTTTAATGACAACATGTTACCCCTCCATAGTTATGAAAACCATTTTTGTGTTAAAACCCCGCAAAGTAAATATCTGACATAAGATTTTTCTTTAAGATGATTTTAAAACTGTCCACTGCTCTTAGAGATTTGCTTGGTCATAAAATGCCTAGAGGCAGATAGATACAGACAGGAAAGGCTTTTTAACTAACTCACCCTAACACCATTTTCTAATCAGTTCCCTGCTAAAGCTCCGTAATAAAATCAAAGATGCATTCACTTGAAAAGAAAAAAGGACTTCTCCATAAAATAGAACCAGATGTACAAAGGAGAAGAGCTTTTGAATGCATGTTCCAAACAAAATAAACATTAACAATACTAAAAATATGAGTAACACTATTCTAAAATAAGAGGAAGCCATTGTGACCCCTTGAGTGTCTGGACTGAGGAAAGCGTATCAAGGACAAAACCTTGAGGAAAATTTAAACTAGAATGAACAGACAAAAAAAACAAAAGTCACAAAGGATGAATCAGAGGGCTAGGAGGAAAGAACAGAGAGCTCAGCAGACAGACAAGGTCAAGCTCCCAGGTACCACAGTAGGCAGGAGACTAAAACTGAAGCGTGTCCACTGGATTCGGTCTTTTGGAGGCCAGCTTTGGCATCTCAGCAGCAGCAGTGGGGTGAGGACAGGGTTAGAGAGGGTGAGGTGTCGAAGCAAAGACGGGCTATGAATGGACCAGAGTCTGACAGGCTCCAGGGAAGGTTCTGAGATGTGGGAAAGGCAAGGCCTCCTGCCCCCGGGAGGATAGGAGGCTGAGGAGGGGAGCACAAACCTGAGGCTGGACTTCTGAAACTGCCGGTAAGTACACGTGGGCAGAAAGCTTACACACTGAAAAGCTCCCCAGCTGAAATTGGAGACCACAGATTGACCACAGCAGCCAAATTTTTCCCTCCAGTATCAGAGTGGCCCACATATAGGAGAAGCAAAGGCAAATGGTTGAATTGACATTTCCGTGGAAGGTAGCGGTTAGCATAAGGCACTGAGGCTGCTGGAGCTGAGAGGCAGAAGTCAGAGCACAGGACTTAGCAAGCAAGCAAAGAAAGGTAACTGTGCGCAGGGAGAAAAGACAAGACTCTAGTAGAAGCAAAGAAAATAAGGGCATGAGAGGCTGAGAGTATAGAAGGATGTCACCAGAAATATGGTGAACAAGACACCAGAAAGAGATTGTAGGGATGAATTCATTTAGGGTGGTAAAGGCTTTGCAAACAAAAAGGCATCCAAAGATTTCATTACAAACCCAACCATTTTTAAAAATATGAAATATAATGCCATATCTCACAGCTAGATTCTTGAAAAAAAAATTAAACAGTTAAAATATTGCTTAAAAAACATGTCATATATTTACATTTTTTAATTTATTGAAAACAATTGTTTTTCACTATAAAATGAAAAGTATATATCAAAAAAAGAAAAACCACCTCTAATACCACTATCTTAATACAACTATTTATTGCAGTAATTTTTAGCATAGTAATAATCATACTGTATATAAAAATTTATAATTGTTTTCCAATTAACTATATGCATTTTAAAGCACCATGCATTTTTTTCATATTAATTTTAACACTTCCATGATATTTTATCAAGTAAACTTTCAAAATTTATCAATTGATTCTCCCATTGCTCATCTAATTTGGGGCTACCATAAATTATGCAAGGGTATATATAAATCAGCGTGTATCATTTTGTATTTCCATGCCTGACCTAAGAAGTAGATAATTACCAGAGTCTGAGGTAGGAGAGTCATCCCTAAAGACTGAAAGGAGATTGGCAGGCTTATTTTCAGACGCACTATCTGACTGGGTCACTGACAAAAGATTTACCTGGAAGAAATCTTACAAAACGTGGCATGAAATGAAATCTTGGGCAGCAGGGAGGGCTGTCTTCAAACAAAGGACCTAAAGCAAGTAAGTGAAAAGGAAAGAAAATAAATAAATAAAACAGCCTTAGAAAATAAATGCTGCAACTTAATTCCTAACATTCACGATAATGACAAAAAAAAAAATCACACACGCTGATGAAGATTCCAGTGGGGAAACTACCCAAAGTAAGAGGAGACTGGAAGTCCTAAAGATATATATGGTATACAGTGTATAAGGTAAAATGATTTTTAGAAATTCAAAAAACATATAGATTTTTGTTATAACTGAACTACTGCATGATATAACATGCTTATGTTTTAATTCCTTTCCATTTTAATCAATACAACTTGCAAAAAAAAAAAAAAGAGAGAATTACTACTAAAAACTTGGTTTGAAAAGCCATGCATCAATACACTGTTTTGAAAATAAATAAGCAAATGTCTGCTGGAACACAGATACCTCAAAAAGAGTAAACTATTATCTAAGAACCAAGTACCAAGTTTTTAATCTATGCAGCTCAGTGTGTATGAGTTGTGTGCTGAGGGCTAACCAAAGTTTTGTTTTAATAAAGTATCATCTTGGAAGAAGTTTATTAAAGTTCAATATTTAAAATATTAATTAATGAGATTTTCCCTAATGCACATAAATCAAGGTAGTTCCTCGTGATAACTGATACCATATTCTTAAGTATCAGTTAGGTAATGGACAACCGTAATCTTAGGTAATGGACACTGTCAAATTATATTAAAATAGGGCCCATAAGGGCTTATTCATGTAGAACGACAGCAGGCGCTCCTATGAATAACACACTTTTCCCTGGGTACTTCAAACACAAGAGGAATTTCAACTATGTCCCCCATATTCCACAATGTTCTACAAGCATTACACTTTTTTAAAAATCCTATTAATTACCTTTAAGATTCCAGTCATACAATTCCAAAATATCTCTGAATAGGAATAATGAAAAAAGTTCAAGTCCCTTCACACAAAAGTTCTGAAAAATAAACCAAAAGCAAATTACTGTAGTACTGTAAATATATATTAACTGAAGGTTCAACTTGTTCTAGTCAAGTGTCTTAAAAAGTGTCTACAGAATCTATACAAAAACCATGTAATTTCCTAAAAAGTTTGATCACTGTCCTACAAATAATAGTTAATTGGCTTGAAACATAAATAAAGGAGGCAATAATGGCATTAGGGTTCCTAATAAAATGTGAACTCAGCCCTTCCCAACGTACAAAAAAATGAGTGAAATTTAAAAATTCAAGTCTTCTTTATCTTATAATTTTCTAATCTAATTATAAAATGTATCAGAATTTCCTGGGACGTTTTTATTAATTCAAATTCCACATACACGCCAGCAGGCTCTGATCCGTTGGTCCCTTTCACCCCACCCCTGCTCAGCACCCCCCCCCCAAAGAAACCCGGAATCACTGTTATAGAATTATCATAGAGAGAGGTCTTTTGTGCCAAAAAAGTTCAAATTCTTACTGAAGGCAAATAAAGGGCTACGAAAAACTACAAAACTTTGTACCAAAATTTCTCCAGTAAACAAGCTTAACAGATGATCTATTTGCAAGTGAGACTTGTCTCACAATTCTTCCTCCTACTTGTGTTGCTCAGGGTTCATAAATCACCCTGTATGAGATCACGCCAGAGTCATAAACTTTTACAATACCAAATAAGGACTTAGAACCTTAAAAATCACCAGGAAGCAAAAAAGCCCTTTTAAGCTGGAGAATGAAGGGGTGGTCCTTTCTCTTCAATTCTTTTTGAAAGACAGGTAGAACTAACAGGACCGGCTTCAAATGAAACGCCGTTATTTTGCCATGTATAATGCACTCCCATGTATAACATGCACCCACGTTTTTGGCCCAAACTTTCAGGGAAAAAAATCTTTCCTTTTAATTTTTTAATTCAAATTTTTATTTGTTTACATTTAGGTACTTGTTTCCTGTATTATAAAGGGATTTTAGCATTTATTTTTTTATACATGGTACAAGAAATTTTGTGTAACAAATAATTACAAAACACACGAACAGGTACAAGGAACAAGAAATTTTATGTACTGGAACAAATTTACGATACTGATACATCACAGAAGGCTAAGAACTCTTCGTCGTTGCAGATTTGTAGTAAGTACAACAAAACCGATTATCGTATTCCCGGGTATTATTTTGCATACGGATATTGTTATTGATTTCTAGAATTACACTTTTAACCCATAAGCACAAATAAAAGAATTAAAAACATTTATGTAGATATGGAATTAGCACTACCCATGTATAATGTGAAGCCTTATTTTTCCCTCACAAATTTGGGCAAAAAAAAGTGCACATCATACACGGCAAAATACAATAGGTGCAAACTAGGCATGCGCCATGCTTATCAGCTCCCCCTCACGCCCCACTGCCTAGGACAGAGCTGCACTGTGAAGCAGGGTTTGCAAGAAAAGCCAGGGCCACGGGAAATTGACCCCAACTCCAACACAAGGTTAAGTGCACAAGCTTGTTTGCTGTCTAGTTGTTATTTCTTAGTGTGATTTGTTGACATCACTAAATTCAAGATCAGGCAATGAATCATTCTGAGATTCACATTAATCTTGCTTTGGAATTTTAAACCTCTTGCATATATTTAGATAAATCTGCTGCTGAGCATCTGAAATGAAAAACAATTAGGAAAAATATGTAAATATATGGGAAGAAAAATGAACCAAACATCGATCCTGTCATTGGAGATAATGAATAAGATTATTCCAGCAGCCATCAGATTCCATTTCACTATTCTCATTTCCTCCCTGATAAGGACCAGTAACCCAAATCTGTCCCTTATCCAAAACAAACTAGAAACAGATGTAAAGTTCCTATCAGTAGATGCAACACAAGAAGACATGGGTTCAAACACTGGTCAATAAGTTGAAAAATGACCCGGATTTTAACCTTGTTCCTTTGGGCTCCATCTCACGGATCCTTTCCGATGGCAAATAGCTAGGGCCGGCCAAGTTCGATGCTTTAAAAACATTAAGTGTGGAATAAACAAAAGCACAAACTGCATCGAGCTGCTAAATAACCTTCTCCCTTACCTCAGGCATCATCTCTTCGATGAAATGAATCGTGTAGTCTATGTTGAATCTAATTACTTTACACAGTGGAATCTGCAATCAGAAGGGGGAGAGAGTCAGTTCCGCAGCACCTTCCCGCAGGCTCACGCTGCACGTGTGTTTGCTGCCTGACCCCGGTGGCCGTGAACCAGAGGAGGACGCTTCACTTAATCTAAGCTGCTAACAATGCTGCACACGAAGCTTGACCACAACTGCAGGATTTTAATGGCAGGAACCCAGCTGGCCCGGCCTCTGCAGGGAACCTGCATGATGGTGGAGCTTAATTAACTGTATGAGCAACAACACGAATACGACAAGAACCTATTACAACCAAACAAATCGCCTCTGAAAAATGAAGAAAACCACAATTAAATACTTCCTTTTCTCAAGTTTTTCACATCCTTCAGAATCTGCGGCTATTCAGGCAGATCAGGAAGAGCAGGCTGACAGCTCACCAGTTACAGATTCGTAAGTCACGGAAGTGCACACAAGTCATGCTGCCTATCAGACTCTGGAGCAAAAGCAATTGTGGTAATAAAAATAATAATAATAAATGATAACAAAAATAATAATGGTTACCATTTATTGAGCCAGGCACTGTTCTGATGCTTCACTTATTGTCACTCATGTCACCACCTCTATGAGGCAGATAGAACTACTATCCCCCTTGTACAGTGGGAGAAACTAAGGCAGGGTTGTCGGGTACCTTACCTAGAAATCAGTAGCTGATGAATTCAAAAATCTGGCTCTAGACCCCAGCTCTAAGCCACTAGAGTATACACCTCTCATTACATGTTCTAATACTTAGGGCGCATGTGATAATGAAGGATGGCTTACAGGAAATCAATCCACATCTATCTTGTTTTACCAATGTATCATCAGACTCTAACTAGTGCCTGGACGTAACACGTTTTCTGTAAATATATTTTTGAATGAAGGAGAGAATAAGAAAGGGAGGGTATGAAGTTACTAGAGTGGCTTGGCTAACTAGCTGGGGAAATAACAGACTCAGAAGCCTTAGAGATGTGTTAAGTAGGTTTTTCTGGCCGTGCAGTCTGTCCATAAGATAATTTTATATAAATGTAATCAGTTTTACCAACCATAGCAATCAGAAAGAAACAATTTTTAATTCTACCAAAGGAATAAGAAAAACAAAAACAGTTTAATAATGCCATCTACTGGAAATCTTTTTCCTCAAAAATAACGTTTAACTTAGGGGCTTATTCTTTTTCTTTTTGAAAGATAATGGCTAATTTGAGTAAAATTCATAATTAAATTTAATAAGAGATCCATTTTCAACCTTCTCATGGTAATGAGTTCTTAACCAACTAAAGCTACATGCTTTTAAAGCCACTCATTTAAAAATATCTGAGTGATAGACAGAATATGACACAATGTAACTTACAAGTACAATTAAAAAACAAATAAGCAAACCCAAATAGCCACGGCAATCTTGAGAAATAAGAAGAACAAAGTCGGGGGGGAGGGGGCCAAGTGGCTCAGTTGGTTAAGAGCTCACTCAAGAGTTTGAGCTCTGAGCAACAGGGTCCCCAGTTTGATTCACGGCCGGAGCTGAGCTGACGCTGAGCTGCCAACAGGTGGCAGGATGGCTCAGCTAAAAAAAATTTTTAAAAAAAAACTAAGCACTTTGGGCCGGCCGAGTGGTGCGATGGTTAAGAACTGGCTTGGGACACCAGAGAGCCCCGGTTTGGATCCCACATATGAGGGCCAGTGACACTGCCCTCTACAGCTAAGATGCTGAAC